GATCAAGACACGAAAAAAGACAGCCAAACCAAGTTTTGAAGTACCAGCCAAATCGAAATTGTATTAACGTGATATTTTTTTTTTCTTCCAGATAAATACTTTTGGAATGCTAGTTAAGTATTTTTCTAAATGATGTACATAAATCAATTCTTAATTTTTCTTGCTTAAGATTTTAAGCCAGTTCAGATGAAGCATTCAAGCTGCAGATTTCGTGAGAGAAAAATAAAACAAACATCGGCTCGACGTTCAGCGCGTAATTACTGCCAACGATTACATAATAACGGGGTTGGAAGAGTCGGTTTTCGTGGCAGACGCGCCGAAGGTGAGAAACAAGAATGGATGCAACAGTTGACAAGCACTCACTCAAGGTCGTCTGCAATTGTGTATCGAAGTGCTGGAGCAGAGAGATCTCAGAGGCGTGGCTAGGGGGAGGGCGGGTGGGGCGGCGCCGACCCTAGTGGGGCGCTAAACGAGATAGAAAGAAAAATTAATAGTTCATTGTATTAGTAAATTATACACAGTCAAGCGTAAGAAAATACAATGTCACTAGACTCTACATACTAATTTAATTTAATTTCTACAGCCATTGTCTGACATCAAAATATATTATTTTTTTTTTTTTTAAATAAGGGAAAGGGACAGTTAAAATGTGCCATTGACTTTTCTAAATGGAGAGGGCGCTTTTATCCCAACAAAAATACCTATATTATATAAATTAAGCGGAGGGGGAGGGGGGCAAATTTAATAAATTCGCTCCGGGCGCAACTATCGATCGAAACACCTTTACAGTCGGGCACGTGATTTTGGTGACGCGTATTTGGAAAACCTTTTAGAATTTTCCTGCTTTTTTTTTTTTGCTGATGCGAACATACATTCAATTTTGTCGGGGGAAGGGGGGTGGCAGCCCCGGAAATAAGCCTGAAAGAAACACTAACGATCACTCGATCCGCCAAGTGAAGACGCTGAGCTGGTGTTCGATAATACGTGCATTGTGCTGGCCACGCTATCCCTTCATATGCCGTGGTCACAGAAACAAGTGTACTCTACTTCACCGTAGTGAACTCTACTAGACCGTCAAGTTTGAAAGAAGACTTTACTACTACTACTATTTATATTTTTACTTCTGTATTTCTAACTTACTACCCACAAGATGTGGGTCAACTCAGAGGCGTTTTACTGGCATAATTACTAACATGGAGAATATCTTGACAACAGAGTCTGACGGGAACTTTGAATGGAAACTCTATGGTAAACAACAAAGAAAACGACGCAAGCTAACTTTTGGCGACATAGCGGTAAGGAAGAGTCTGAACAGTGTTTCTTCCAGGCATCGCTTCAGTGTCCGCCCCCCCCCCTCCCCCGGAGAATAAAAGTCTGGAAGAAACACTGAGCCTGAAGGATAGGACAGAGTTGGGAAAAGAACTCCCGGAAACCATGGAGAGTGGAAAGATTTAACGGAGGCCATGTTACTCAAGGGACCAAAGGAACAATGATGAATTAATAGCAAAATATGGGACGGCATGGTCGATTGGTAGAGCGTTTGACTGCTAGCCCGAGGGTCTCGAGTTCGGATCTCGGTTCAGAACTGACCGTAGGGCGTCCCTGAGTCCACCCAGATCTAATGGGTACCTGACTTACGTTTGGGAAAGTAAAGACAACTGGGCATAGTGTTGTCCACGCCGTTCATGCATAAGCCGAGGTCAAGAAGCAAATAAAATCTACTTCCTCTGCCCAATGTATCGCTAGGTCAAAAGAGGAATCTTTGCTAACAAAATAGATTGTATTTTCTAAATTAAACAGACGCCTAGGTACGGCGTGGTCGCGTGGTAGAGCTTACTACTGCTTTACAAGAAGTCTCAAGTTCTGATCCAGGGTTGAGTCTAAATAAAGTCACTGAGTCCACTCAGCTCTGATGGGTACCTGCTTCACGTTAAGGGAAAGTAAAGGCTGCTGGGCACAGTGCTCACTACACCATATATGCCTATGTTATTGAAACAGATTAGCTCTACTTCATCTGCCCCATATATCTTGGGCAGGAATGGGAAAAGATAATGATAAAACTGAGGTTAAAGGTTAAAAATGATCATAAAAATTAACCTAACGAAATTTATTGTGTATATAAAAGTAATCTCATTCGCGGAATTTGTGCTAGCATAACAAACTGTAAAACCTCTGTGAACAAAACAACAATAATATCGCGGACACGGGAATCGATATACGCACTCTTTGCAAACAAACGGAATACAGTTATGAATGAAACATTGCATTGAGGCAATTAAAAAAAAAGAGATAGACAAAATTACAACAATTAACTCTGTGTTAGTTAATAACATAGTTTTCTGTTCACGTATCGACTGCAGTGTTTTGGTAGCGAGGTCGCTGTCTATATGTAACAGTGCTTCGCTTGCCAGATTGGTCTATTGAGGTGTACAGCGTCAGGCTTGCCATATTGGCTTGACGCTTCCTCACAAGCGAGTTGCGCAGCGGCGAGCTGTGTGGCAGACTACTTTGTGAACACGGCGCGCGACACGATAGGCTGTGGTGGTGGCGTGTGTGTGTGTGGAGGGGGGGGGGGGGGGGTGGGATTCAGTCTCGTCGCGACATTACGACAACAACAGCTGTTTAGGGACACGGGCGTAATTAGAATGGAAGGAAATTGTGTTGCTTAAATTGGATATAACTCTATAACTATATTTATAGGGCCTATGTATATATATATATATATATATATATATATATATATATATATATATATATATATATATATATATATATATATATATATATATATATAATGTCGTATAAAACTAAGCTTATTCTACATATAGCGCTGAATCGGTAATGATCTATTGAGAGTATGTTTTTAAAATATATAGAGCCCCCTTCAACGAAACATTGCTACTTAAATTTAGTTCGAGAGCAGGTTCTCAGGATCGTCCATAAACGACTTTTGTGGCCATGTGCAGAGTTTTTTCCAGACTTTTTCCTCCGGGGGTGGGAGGGGGGGGTAGACATTCTTCGAGGGTCTCCGCCCCCCCCCCCCTCCCGAAGAGATGCCTGGAAGAAACTCTGACCATGTGTCACGTGGAAGATTGGGGAAGGTTCAGATAGTGTGTCAACGCAAAGCTACGTTTTAAACAGTTATCCCACAAACTTAAGTTAATTTTAGACATTATTTCAAGATTTTAAAAGATTTTTTTTTACAAAGTTTAACAAAAAGTATCTTATACAGTTTAGCCAAGAGGTTGTCAGAGGAAATAACTGAGTGAAAGTTTACATGGGAAAAAAATATTTTTATTTCCCTTGAAAAACTCAGCTTGTGTAATTTTAAATTATATTTAACAAAAAAATTCATAAAAAACGTTTTAATAAAAAAGTTTTATGTTATAATAAACTAAAAAAGGAGAACATAAATTATACACTACTATTTAAATAACTATGAAGAAAAAGCGTGGGTCAATTTAGTATCTCTTGGAAACTTTTACTAATGTTTAGGAATAGACCCACGCTTTTCTTTATAGTTATTTAAATAGTATTGTATAATTTATTTTATCCTTTTTGGTGCATTATTACATAAAAGCTTATTTTTAAAACGTTTTTTATGAAAAAAAAATTATGATCTTTTTTACAAGCTTTTATTTAACCTGCTTCATCTGTCGTCAGTCTGTCGTCAGTCTAGATCGAAACGCCCGAGCAAAATTACGGGCACTTCTAGCTGAAAGATACGGTCGATAGTTGGTGCGTGGGTTAAGACATAAAAACAATGCAACATGACATTAAACTTGATTTAATTGGTTGCCTGATTAATTGTTTATGAATTAGTTAAAATTTTGTGCTAATGAGTAGGCTATCTCATCCAATTATTCCACACTATTATACACGCTTCATCATGTTCGTTAGATGCGCAATGGTTTTTAGTCATGCAACTCTATTGCATTAAAAATTTATAGTACGGAAAAAAAATTCATAAAAAAAAAACGTTTTAATAACAGACTTTTATAGCTCTCGTAAATATTAGTAAAGATATCCAATAGATAATGAAGCGACAGTAACAGTTATAGCAGTGGCGGCACTAGGTCGGGTGTCAACCGGGTACTACCCCACTCCCTCCGAAAATGCTGCATTTTCGTCGAAAATTTCCGGACCCCCCCCCACCCTCTCCTTCAAGAGGGCGACGTCGTTTATGGATGACCCTTAATCTTATAATCTGATTTTTAGCGCAATTTCCATACGGACAATTGCGGTTATTAATTCGTTATTTCTGGATGGATGGATGTGTGTCCGCAGTGTGTCCGCAGCTTTAAGTCGTATCTCCTCCTCAACGAAGCAATATCGAGGACTAGTTCCAAAGCAAATATGTTAAGCCAGTTCCGATGATGTTTGTGGGCCAAAAAAATTCCCGGAATTCCTTCCTGGATTTCCCGGAAACGCCAAAAAACCTCGAAAAAAATGCAGTTTTTGGCCCATATCTCGGCAACCAGACCACTTAGCGACTTGAAACATTTACCAATCGATTCCTGCCATAATTTAGAACAATTTTGCCGAAGAAAGTTTTCAAAAATATCCTTTCGTTCGGTCACAAAAAATTAATTAAAGAAATTGCGCTTAAATTGTCACTGGACTTTTTATTAACTTGTTTTTAAAAAATTGGGAACTTGTATGTGTGTGTGTGTGATATAAAAGTCGGATGAGCTTAGTGGCAGTGTTATATTCTGCGTAGTTCAACGAACATAGCATTTGAATATCTTTATGTGTAGAGAATTCATAACATTCTTTTTTAAATCTATATCAGCTAGTAGGCCTATTTATTTTAAACCCCATTGTCACAAAATCTCTCCATAATGACTACTAATGTTTTGATGTGATTCCTTAAATGCCATGATTTTTTAAACCTATCAACTGTATAATGAATAATGTATAAGTATACAGATCTCAATTTATTCTTAAAATACGAAACAATGTTTAGGCCGGAAGTAGATTAGAAATCGACTTTGCTAGGCCCTACTTGGATTATAGTATTTATTTTGAAGTGACTACTCGTAAGAAGATGCAATTTATGTAACTAGGAGGTTTTTAGCATTTTCTAATTTTTTTCCAAATTTAGTATATTTTTCACTAGCATTTTTCTCAAAATGTTAAATTACTTATTTATTACTAGATCTAGTCTATGATGACTGAAAAACTACGTACTGCGTGAGATTAGTGAGATATCTACTAACTACTATCTAGTATCTACTAGATTCTAATACTATTAGTCTAATAGTATACTACTCTAGATTTAGATCTAGATAAAATTTTGCACACATGTTCACCAAACACTGCTTGTAAAGTTTAACTAAAATAATTTCTAGATATATTAATATATCTTTGAAATTTCACATTTTATAAAATAAAAAGCTAAGTCTACTCCCTACTTTTTTGACAAGATCATTCATTTAAAAAATATGGCTAAAATCAATTTTTTTTATTCTCTAATTGTTTTAGTTCATCCTTTTTGAATTTGGATATATTACAGTACACTCACTATGTTAACAATTTATGTTATTCTGACAAATAGAACCCGTGTTATTGTGATTACAATGAGAGCTAATTTTGAGTTATTTTACCCTAAAATGACACTTTTTAGAAATTATTTTCACAAAACTTTTTAGTGATTTTTTCACATTTTTTTTTCATATTCTATGCTAGTTACAACTTCCTTATCACTCAAAAAAGTCCTAACACATAATTTTCAATTTGGGAGTTTAACCTGCCCTTCGTGTTAACAGACACTTGTTTTGTTAGCTATTTTGTTGATAGCAATAACCCCGCACACCTTGATATCTACTAGCCAGTTATATTAAATTTCAAATTAGAATGTTTCCATATAGCATTAATAGGGTAGGATTCTCAAAAAAATCATCTGTAATGTGATTACTGCTCATAAAAATTATATTTGAATTAAATTTAGGTTCTTGTTGTTTTTTTTTTTTTTAGTTATTCTTCAATTCAAAACTGAGAGAAATGGAAGAAGAAGATACTTATAAACCTTTGCCAGTAGGTTTAGTCATTAATCAGGAATCAAATGAGGAAACAAAGCCAAATATTTTAACACAACTTTCAGCTTTTGAGGACATTAATTCACATGTATCAATAGTATCATTATACCCAACTTGTGGAGAATTGAAGCCTGAAGTGTTGTCAGTATCTTCAATATGTGAGGAAAAGACACAAGATATGTCAACATTATTTTCTTTGGATGAAGAGAAACCAGATCTATTACCATTTTCCACTTCTGAGGACAGGAAACCAGATGTATCAACATTTCCAGCTATTGATGATAAGAAACCAGATTTATCAACATTTCCCGCTTTTGATGAGAGGGAACAAGGTGGATCATTTTCCGCTTCTGAAAATTATAATTCTGATGATTCTAATTTACATTCAGATTATCTACCAGATTCATCGGTTGGTAATGTAGAAGATTCACTCATGGTTCATAATGATTTTAACAAACTCAAGTCAGTGCATACAGAATCCATAGTACCTTTATTTTTAAATAATATGTTAATTCAAAAAGAAAGAAAGACATACAAGTGTGAAATGTGTAATCAATACTTTGTGAGATTTGATCACATGATCCAACATATAAAAATTCACACAGGAAAAATGCAGTACGAGTGTAATGAGTGTCATAAAAAGTTTATGCATGAGGCTTTTTTAAATAGACATAGAAAAGCTCATACTGGAGATTTGTCTCATGAGTGTGACATCTGTCATAAGAAGTTCTTTTCTCAACCCCTTTTGAAAAATCATATTAAAGTTCATTCTAGAGTTAAACATGAATGTGATGTTTGTCATAAAAAATTTGTCCATAAGCTTCGTTTAAATAACCATAGAAATATTCATTCTGTTGATAAATATGAATGTAATATTTGCCATAAAGTGTTTAAAGTTAAGTTTTATTTACAAAAACATCTGAAGCTTCATTCTGGAGCTACATATGAATGTGATAATTGTCACAAAAAGTTTATTCTATTGTCCCATTTAAAAAATCATAGTAAAATTCACAGTGGAGAAAAATATGAATGTGATATTTGTCATAAAAAATTTGTTTTTAAATCTCATTTGAAAACTCATAGTAAAGTTCATTCGGAAGACAAATATGAATGTGATGTTTGCCATAATAGGTTTGCCCATAAATTTCATTTAAAAAGTCATAAAAAAATTCATTCAGGAGATAGACATGAATGCAATATTTGTCATAGAATGTTTAATCATAAGTCTGATTTAAATAGACATAGTAAAACTCATTCTTTGGTAAGGAGATATGAATGTCATGTTTGTCAGAAGCAGTTTGTGTTTAAGGGTCATTTGCAAATTCATAGTGAACGTCACTCTGGAGATAAACATGAATGTGATGTTTGTAATAAAGAGTTTGTTTTTAAGGCTAGTTTGAAAAAGCATAGTCAAGTTCATTCTGGTCTTAAACATGAATGTGATGTTTGCCATAAGAAATTTTTTTATTTCTATCATTTAATAAGTCACAGAAAAATCCATTCTTGAGAGGAACATGAATGTGATATTTGTCATAAGATTTTTAATCAAAAGTCTTCTTTAAATAGACACAGTAAAATTCATTCTGAAGGTGAACAAGAATGTGATGTTTGTAATAAAAAGTTTGTTCTTGAATCTTATTTAAAAATTCATTGAAAAATTCATGTTTGAGATTAATTCTTTTAAGGGAGTAATGTTTATTTATAACTTTCAAATAATCTAAGTTGTTCAAACAAGTTAACACATAGTACTTAATGTTTAAGGAAATCCCTTCCAATATTACAATTAATAACAACAAAGAAGTTACAAAAATTATCTATTTGTATTTTACTTTTCTTTGTCATGTTAGTTTGTAAGTCTGTACTTTAAGAATAGCCTATATATGTGGTTGTGGGTTCATTTAAATAGAACACTGAACTTTGAAAGCTTTATTTACATTGAGTTTGAGATGAAATTCAATAATATATCACACCTTCAACATGCAAATCTCACCCCTTATATCTCCTTCACAGTCTCTTACAACATTTAATGAGCAAAATTATGAAAAAATATGTGATTAATCACTCAGCATGTTCATCCATTAACCAGGCATTCTACAGTCACACAAACATCACTTCAAACATACGCTATATAAGTGCTGTATGTTACATAGATAAACAAGTAATAAAACAAATATAAACACCTGTATAATTACAAGTTTTTTAGTGTACTAACAGTAAGAAAATTAACATACATTTTCTTAAAATAGATATAGTTGTTAAACTAGAAACTTTTATTAATAGATATATTATTATATAAATGTGTTATATATATTTTTTACCATTATATCTTAATAAAAATTGTAAAAAGTGTTTACAGAGGATTTTACAAATTTTCTAGTCTTTTTGTTATATCAACTATTATTTAAAAAAAAAAAAACAATTTCAGCTTATAAATTGTATAAAGAATAATAATTTTTTGCATGAATAGACTTCTAAGTTGTGTTTTGTTTGCTATTGATGTTTCTAATATTTTTTAAAAACTTATATTCTAAAAGTTTTTTTATGCAAGATGGAGCTTTGTTTAGCATATGATCAGTGTTGATTAATACACATTTTAAATGAATAAAATATTGACTTTTTTGTTGTGTTTTGTTTTATTTACACATTTCACACTACTATTTCTTTTAAATCTAATTAATACTAATTCTATAATCTAATGTATTTACCAGTGAGCCTGTAAAAGAATATTGTTTATTCAATACATGTCATTTCACAAAATGGTAGGTTTACAGCTTGACGACACAACCAAGAATCCTATCCATGGCAGAGATGGTGGGAAGGAAGATGTCAAATTTGGAGGCAGTGGGGGAGTTGGCCAAAATACTTTTATACTGAGAAATTTGTAGGTTGATATGTACAGTTCTGGGAATTAATTGTCTACATTTTTTAAAAAGTTTATTATTAGATATATAAATTCTTAGAGAAAGTAAGCTATACACACAAAACTCATATGTTAAGTATTGTTAAATACCATAAAGAAAGAAATCCTTATAAGTGTGATGTATAATGAAAAAATTGCAAACTTGGTTTATCAAATTATATCCAGTATATAAAAACTCATAGGGCAAGAGTTAATCTGATTGTTGCATTATTAAAAAACAAAAAAAATATTCTCAAAATGCACCATCAATACGTGCTGTCTTTTACAAAGATATTCTTATCAGGAAAAACAAATTTAAATAAATATTAAACATTTAATATCGGGATACCCCATGTGGGGATGATTGTTGTACGTGAGGTTTGTATGAACACACAATCAGAGTTTATTCTAGGCTTCTAGGCAGTGAACCAGAGGGGAAGATTTCGGTGGCGTCTATTTCAGAATCAGATGGAAAACTTTGAAATGTTAACACGTCTGTGACTCGAGTTGATGGGAAGATTTCAAAACGTACGGGAGATCTGTCATTGCTTATAGTTCATAATACAGAATGCGAACTAGACTTTTACGTGCGTGAACTTTATTACAGGACCATAGCAGGAAGTATAGAGTATATTAGAAAAAATGTTTTTCTTGTTTAGCCGTGCCCAAATATTTGTTTTGTTTAGTGTTGTAAAAAGCAAGTTAATAAAAAGTCTAGTGACAATTTAAGCGCAATTTCCTTAATTAATTTTTTTAAAAATGTGAAAAAATTATTAGGCCTAGCGAAACAAAACCTTGTAATTGTAACTCCCTATCCCTCTCATATAAATTATAAATAAATTAATAGGGTACAAAAATAACGTTTGAATTAATATTATTAATAAGTAAAAAAAAAGACAACTAGATTAACCTATATCAACGGAAATTGTTTTATTTTAGCGAGTAGGCCTACAAGATGCTCAGTTTAAAAAAGTAGAGTTTAAAAAAGTAGTAAATATCCTATAAATATAAACTTATTTGTTCTTAATTAATTTTTTGTGACTGAACGAAAGGATATTTTTGAAAACTTTCTTCGGCAACATTGTTCTAAATTATGGCAGGAATCGATTGGTAAATGTTTCAAGTCGCTAAGTGGTCTGGTTGCCGAGATATAGGCCAAAAACTGCATTTTTTTTCGAGGTTTTTTGGCATTTCCGGGAAATCCAGGAAGGAATTCCGGAATTTTTTTAAACCCACAATCATCCTTGGAACTTGCTTAACATATTTGCTTTTGAAACTAGTCCTCGATATTGCTTCGTTGAGGAGGAGATACGACTTAAAGCTGCGGACACACATCCATCCATCCATCCATCCATCCATCCATCCATCCATCCATCCATCCATCCATCCATCCATCCATCCATCCATCCATCCATCCAGAAATGACGAGTTAATAATCGCAATTCCTGTAAGGAAATTGCGCTAAAAAAGTACATAGTAACGTCTAATACTTTTACTTTCTCATACACACAGTTTTGAGGAAGTATTGTAAATAGTGAAAAAAAAATCAAAATTGAGATTGTGACAAATCTCGACGTTTTACAGCTTTCCTGAGCCAGAAAAAACTTATTTTAGTTTTGCAATTTCGCACTCATGACTTTGTGTATGTCTGTGAACTAAATACTTTGGGTAAAGTTTTAGTTATGTTGGCTAAATGTAATATGTAGGCTATGTATTATATCAAATTTTTAGTTCTGTAACTACTTTGAGCGAATTCTGTAACCGAAAGCGGTGTTTACTCTAGTTTTGTTTTCTCAAAACCCAATAGCTTGACTACCGTATAAATTAGGAAAACGAAATTTCACATAAAGGATTACTTGGATTACTTTCAATTTTTGAGTGACCTCCGATAATCGAAAGTGATACTCTATAACTGGTTTCTAAAATACCGATAACTTGAGTACTGTTTCTCTTAGGTCTTATACTCTTTATTTTCTTAAAAATTTTGAGTAATTTCCGGTGAACTGAAGTATTACTTCAGGCTATTTCCGATTTCTGAAAAAAAGATATCTTCTACCGGGCCGATTTCTTCAAAACTTTTCACGTATGTGTAAACGCAAGGCAATACAATGTTTTCAAACTTTCATAACAATCGAATGAATTATGTAAATGTAAACGCAAGGCAATACAATGTTTTCAAACTTTCATAGCAATCGAATGAATTATGTAAAAAATAATCAATAAAGACATATGAACAGAAATACATTCAATGACATATACTTATAGACTAGCGTAACCGTCGCCTGCGCGTTGCTGCGGTCCAGAAGATAGGCTGACGCCAGATTTTAAGAGGATTTCTCCAATGCGTTACCAGTCGTGTATTTTAGACGCGTAACCTCACTTCCAAATCTTCTGCATTAATCATGTAAAATCAAACGCACATTACGTCATTCTAGAGCTCTGAACGTGTTACTAATCGTTATTTATAGAAGTGAAAATTCTCTGACGAAACTTAACGTATAAAAATCGTGTATTTTCAGACGTGGCCTTCTTTACTAAAAATGAGTTACTGAGATGTAAACAAAGAAGACGCTGTATTTCTTTGATCATAGTTGTTGGGGCACTACTGATCAGACACCCCAGGGCGTGCTGTATAAAAAATTGAGTGTACTTAAACCACCCTCCGTAATAGTGAACGCGAATGTATCAAGGGCGTCACTGGACGCTATCGGTTACATTGCTCAGGGGAGCTGGTTCGGTTTAGTCAACGAATGTTTGGTGCCACTTTTGTAGGGTGTTCTTTAAAACTAATGTAGGCGCCATAGTGCTAACAGATATAGTTTTCAGATCATATCTTATCATGCCATTCTTTTGTGTTTTCTTTGCTTAGGCCTAAGAACAATAGTTGTATGCAAAAGTAATAGAAATATTCTAGATAGATTTATATATAGAATTTAAAAACCTGATAATTTTCAACATTATTTCTCAAATTTTTTTCTAATAATTTTCAAATTTCATTATTTAAAAAAAAAAATTTCACTTATCATTTTTTTTAATAATTGACTGGTCTTTCGAGTAAGCAAAGTAAATGAAATGTTAACCTTCAAAACAATAAAAATAACAAAATGAATTTTAAATTTTTTTTATTTACTTAAAATTCAAAAACATTTGTGTTAAAAATCACACAAAATAGGATGTTGAACATGGTGACCAGAAAGATGAGCAACGGGAAAAGCGAAAAAAAATTGCGCAAACAGAAAAATGCGCACACAGAAAAATGCAAACAGAATTTTGCGCATAAAGAAAAATGCGCAAACAGAAAAGTGCGCACACAAAAATGCAGACACAGAAAGAAGACGCTTTCTTTCTATTTCTGGGAACCATTGAAAATGTATGTATTTAGGTATAATGCTCCATTTATTTCCTGAATAATCATGTCTGGGATCCAAAATAACATGGTTGCTACATAACAATGACAGAATTTAAGTAAACTATAATCTTTTATTTTAAGTAGTAATAAAACACTGCAAAATTAAAAAAAAAAATAACTTACTTTTAATTTATAAAACAAATTTAAAAAAAAAGAAAAAAAAAACAAGCATGAAATAAAAGTGTAATAACATAAAATGAAAACTTCATTAGTAAAATATTGATGGGACATGTTTTATAAACGTTATAAATTTAGATCTTGTATTGACAAAAATATTTTAATCAATTTTTTAAAACCAAACTATGCAAACAGGTTGATAATTATTCTCATTCTTACAGATGGATAATGAATGTGGCTAACATTTTAAACTATGCTGATATTTTCAAAGAAAAAAAAAACTAACTAAACTATTTGACTAAAACTATGTTATTTAGAATGGAGGGTAACATTAAAATGGCTTGCGTTAAATGTTTTAAACATGAATGATCTCTATCAAACTCAATACATGTAAAGGTTCAAACAATATATGCAGTGCAGTTAAAAAGAACAGCTTCATGTTTTTACAGAATATTTAGTATTTTTAGCTTGAAGGAGATTTTAACTAAAAACTTTATTCAAAAATGCAAATTAAAAGATTTAAATTTTTTATTGCTAATTTTAAGATCATACAGCTTTTTTTTCCTGCCACATCAGGTTACATTACATGTAAAAGGAAAATCATAATAAAAATAATTAACAAAATGTTTTATCTAAAAACTTTACACTCAATGCCATTTTCTATATATAAAATAAATAAACCGGGAGTGATCTCCTCTAAACTTTCTTGAATATTCTAATATAAAACTACGAGGCATGGCAACTCAGGACATAGCCAATAGGCCTATTTGTAATCCATTTTTAATTACTTAAACTT